TCACTAATAAAAATTTAAAAAAAAATCAGCCAAGCTGATCTGAGTGGAAAAGTGAAAAACCAAAATGCCCAAAGAGGAAGTGGAATTTCCTCGGATGGCAGGAAAGCAGCCTGTGCTACTCTCTGATTTCAGAAATACTCTATCTACCTCTTTAAGCCACAGATCACTGAAAACTCAAAGAATCCAGCATCTAGACACTACCTCTGCTGCTCTTAGAACTGTCAAACAAATATTATTTATTACTGATAAAAATATTTTCACTTTTATTTGTTCAGTGGGGGGATGTTTAGGCCACACTCTGCAATGCTCAGGGCTGACTCCTGGCTCTGCACTCAAGGATCCCTCTGGATGGTGATTGGGGGACTGATGGTATATCAGGATAGAACCTGGGTCAGTCACATACAAAATCCTCACTGGCTGTTCTACCACTCTGTCCCCTTACTGTGATTCTTCCTTCTTCAGTTATTGATTTAGCTCAGGGATCTACATCCCTCTAGAAAATACAATGGATTTAGAAGGTTCTAACCCTTCTCTGGCTCAGGGCTTGTTCTGTGGGGATGGCAGGAATATCTCCGAGCACCTCATTGCTCCATCCACAGTGGGCTCAACACAACCTACAGGTAGGTCCCCTGGTTTATAGAAAGCTACACTTTTTCAGAAGCTGGGAGCTTGTTGCAGCCTGTATCCAACAACTAAGTTTCTCAGATTCCCTTGAAATGAATGGACAATGCCCGAGGAATATGATTATGATCAACAGTATGAGGGCTGCTAGGTATCTGTACGTAGCAGGGCGAAACTCGAATTGGTGTGGGGGTGCAACAACATTATGAGCCTCTTACACAACCACTGTGCAATGAGCCAGCACAAAGACAGAGCTGACCAGACTCTGCTCCTGAAGGCACTTCCCCTGCAGTCTTCTGTATTCCAAGTTGATCCAATTCCCTCTTGATTAGGCTGGTTCAAATTCACGCATTTCTGATACTTGAACCTGGAGGTATGCTACAATCTACAGTAGGAAAATGAACTCACAGGACCAAGGAAAAGAAAGAAGAGTTTTCAAGGTAAAGGAGGATGAGAAAAGCTCAATATGATATAATGTATAAGTAGGATGGGATGATATAAACGAAACCATCATTGAGATTGCTAAATGTAGCAGACTGATGAAGGGAAATGCTTTTTCTGTGCCTTTTCTGCTTTGGATAAAGAACTTCTTTAAATCAATCTGTGTTTACTGTGATTACAAAGTTTCTCTGATCTATTAAAACGCTAACTGATCACAACATAGTTTACAACCGGATTATGATTATAAAGTATGCATTTGTTTTTTAAATTTATTTTAATACAGACAAAAATCCACAACTAGTGATACAATTCTAGAGTTGAAATTGATTGGATAACAAAACTCCAATATTAAAATTGATAAGTATAAAATCAATTTTTATGCGAACATTGTGTATTTCATCATGGGATTGTTAAGTCCTTCTCTTAAGAATTTAATAATCTGTAAGTAGTTGAGGGTTCTGCATTATTGATTTTGTTTGTTGAGTTTAGTTGACCTCTATGTTACTTTACCATCTAATCTGGTGTGCTCCTAATAGGATTTCACTATTGAGGAATTAGGTATTGCATGGCATTGTAATGAAAAACAGTAAACATGGCTGAATATGACTAGTTATTTAAATAAGACATTTGGCTTGCTTTTCAAGCCCTATTCTCCCTTGAACACACATCTAGATTGCTTGTCTTGTCTCTGCTTGATCTTCAAGCCTGCGTTCTCTCCCAAGCAACTATTCTCTTCCATCACATCTTCCTCCTTCATATCTTCCTAACCAATTTTTGTTCAATAAAAACTATCTTGCTTCACTAAAAATAAATAAATAAATAAATAAATAAGGCTTTCCTCCAGGAAGACTAAATTTATCATTTAAGTTTTAAGTCTTATACATTTTGTTCAAGACATTCTTTAAACAAAAAAGATATACAGAATTTAAAACATGTACTAAAGACAAAGAATTTAAGATGCCTCTGTCTATCCATCACTCAGAACTTAAATTTTTGAAAATTCTTTCACTCCTATTTTTTCTTCTCACTGATTTCATATGAGTGAACAACCAATATGGTCTGGTGGCAAGAACAACCCACAAGTCCTGCATTTGTGCGACCTTATCTTATCTGAAAGGTCTAGGTAGAGGGATTTGTTAAGCTATATTAATACCAGAGCTTTAGATTAGAACAGTAGTTCAAAACTAATGTCCTTCCAAAAGGTGGAAAAACTTGAGTATGCATGAAGAGAAGGAAGAATATGACTTGACGGTAAGAGACTGACTAAATGGAGTATGTGATGACTAGAATTCAGAATCACAAAACTGCTTAAAAAGCTCCTGTGAAACCATTATCTCTTAGCTCTTTATATCAGAGAACTAAAAATCTCAGGCCAGATATTGCTAATATCACTTTAATTTTTGGAACCTGACAAGACTGAATAGAGGCCTTCAAATATGGGTGACCTTGTCCTGGGAGATACATTTTCATGATATGATGAGGCACCAGATGAACTATTATTTGTTTTGGGTGGGCCTCCCAGACGTTCTCAGCAGACATGGAGGCCCCTCTTGGTCATAATTTGCCCTGTTGTGTGAATCTGACTATTCAACGCTCTGGCCTGGCAACTAGTGATGCTGGGGATTTGAGGGTTATACCTGGTTGGTGCATGAGGCAGGGGGTGGTGGTTAAGTATTGGGGATCAAATTCGGGACCTAGCACATGGAAGGTGTCTAGTCCTTTGAACTATCTCCTACTCCCCTAGATTACTTATCAATGAGGTTAATTTTAGTAATTTAGTTATGTGCCAGTAACTATCAGCTGTTATTTTTTGGTTATAGAACTCCTGATGAAAACACAAGGGATAGCCTAGGGCATGATAAGAAGTAAAGCGTACCTTTACAGAGTGCCTAAAATCCTGAAAACTTCGGAATGATAAGAGTGGTGTTAAGGGCATACTCCTGGCTCTGTGCTCATGGATCACTCCTAGAAGTGCTCAGGGAAGTATATGCAGTGTGGGGATTCAACAGGGGGTAGTTGCTTGCAAAGCAATCTATTTAATTCCTTTATTGTCTCCCTGGTCACTTTAAATTATTTTAATGAGGTATGTGGAAGGAAAAGGGGTAACTAGCCTGAGGATGGCACTCGTCACTAAAAACAACTAGTTATTAGAAGTTTGGAACATTTAGTGGTACTTTCTGATCATTGGAAAGTGGCAAAGGGCAGAAATTTAGCTCTTTGAAGGGACCACTAAGTAAATGATGCTTGGAGGGCTCGCTCGGGATGGGAGATGCGTGCTGAAAGTAGACTATAGATCAAATATGATGGCCACTTACTACCTGCATTGCAAATCATAATACCCAAAAGGAGAGAGAGAGAGTAAAAGGGAATGTGCCTGCCAGAAAGGCGGGGGGGGGGGGGAGGTGAGAGGGAATGGAGTGGTAGGAGGCATACTGGGAACATTGGTAGTGGAGAATGGGCACTGGTGGAGGGATGGGTACTTGATCATTGTATAACTGAAATATAATCATAAAAGTTTGTAAGTCTATAACTGTATCTCATGGTGATTCATTTAAAAACAAAAAAAGGCAAGAAAAAAATCTCTCTAGGGACTGGCGGTCGGTCGTACAATCAACAGATGTGAGGTCCCTCATCAGGGGAAGCTTCTTTTAGGATAAACTCATTCAGCAAGAAGACCCGCCTGAGGGAGAAATACCATCTACAGGAGCCTTTTTCCTTTCCTTACTCCAAAAACCATTTAAACATTCATCTTAATTCTACTTCTTAATAATATTAGTCATTTTGTATGCACATAGTAAGAGATACATTAAGCTTGTAGGGTGACTCTCCTGGGGATATCTCGCTGTAGATCCCAGACTACAGTGCTCAGGTCAGGTTAATCATTCTTAACCCTAGCAGGGTCCTAATGCAGTTATTACTCTTTGGATCATGACAGAATTTGTCTATGACCATGTTTCTAACTCTTACTTAAGTATTATGGCACTTGGCCTGGCCCATTTCGATGCCAGGGTAGCTCACAGCTTTCCCTGGGTCCATCCAGTCCCTTGCTGGGACCCTGCTTTTGAAGTATACTAGGAATTAAAGGCAACTGAGGCTTAAGTTGAGAAAACAGATGCCCAAGAATGTATTATTATTGGGAGTCAGTTAACTCTCAAGTTACAAAAACATAGCATTAACTATCTTCCTGTGTCTATACAAAAAAGGACACTGCTCTGACGTAAATTATGCAAAAGGACATAGAAAAAGGAGAAAAAGCAATATTTACAAAATCAGAGATTTCTGAGGAATTTGACTTTACAAATCATAGGTACTTCTTAGGGGAAAATGGTGATTAACTGGTTGGGGAAGAGAGCACAGAGAAGGGGTTATAGATAAACACAGGGAATGGGAGTGCCTTGGGAGCACTGTGATAGGTCTAACCCAATAAAACCTAAGTTCCCTGTGGCAAGGGAGACAGGACATACCAATGTTAAACCTAAAATGTTTAGAGGTATATTCCAAATCATACCAATGTTATCCAACATAAAAGTCTAAAACAATTTATATCTTCCAACCCCATTTTATAAAAAACTTTATTTTTAAGTTATCCATTTAGCACACAATAGATGTCTTGTTTTTAAAACCCTTGTAAATTATAAAGAATTATATTATCATCTTCCCCCTGCCCCTAAAAAAAAGCCCCCAAACTCCTTGGGTTCACTCAATAATTTTTAAGAGTGTTAAGAGGTTCTAAAGTCAAAATGTTTGAAAACTACTGTTCAAGACAAATTCCTTTCTTTACCTACTAACCTTCTGGCTGATAAAATGAAAGGATTGTTTTTTGCAAATTTCTTTTTTAATGTCACTGAAAATAAAGTTTATTGACTCCCCAGTAGTTCTTTCCATGAGAGATATTATCTGATTTTGAATGAGAGAATAAAGTGTGAGGAGATACTCACTTTAACCAATTCGGTGTAGCCTGTCTCTTTGGGGGTCCACCAGGGCTGTGCTTTCAGTCCTTGCACGTTATAGAGCGAGCGCTGCCAAACAGATGCAAAATGTCCCCTCTTGTGTCCCAGCTCGTACCACTTATATGCCTGAAAGAACAGGGAAAGTGAGTCACTATGAAGCAATTTTATCCATATTACATTAAAATTACTTGAATATTACTTTTGGATATCTAAATACCTTGCTAATCAGAAGCCCAAATCTGTTACACTGGTGGAACTATTTGATTTCATTGGACTGCTGATTATGACCTACTATTATAAGTACATTTATTTTATTTTTTCACTTTTAGATTTTAAGTTCTGTGTGAACAAGAGTCATGCTCCATTATCTTAATTTCTCCTAGTGAACCCAGCAGCTAGGGCTTATCTGTTAAGTGGGTAAATAATGTCACTGTCACTGTCACTGTCCTCCCATTGTTCACTGATTTGCTGGAGCGGGCCCAGTAACGTCTCCATTGTGAGACTTCTTGTTACTGTGTCTGGCATATCGAATATGTCACGGTTAGCTTGTCAGGCTTTGCTGTGTGGGCGAGATACTCTCAGTAGCTTGTCGGGTTCTCCAAGAGGGACAGAGGAATAGAACTGGGGTCGGCCAACCCGGCCGCCTGCAAGGCAAACACCCTACCTGCTGTGCTGTTGCTCCAGCACTAAATGTTTCTATTTAGACTATATTTCTATTTTAGCTTTCACTTCGTAGGTTCTTTTCCCTTGAAAAGTAAAGGATCATTATTTAAAAAATGGCCTCAATGGTATTTGCCTTTGCTGAACTATAATACTGAAATGGAGAACAATTTTTCTTTTCCTCTTTTTTTGAGTTGGGGGGCACTCCTGGTTTCAGGGCTTAGTCCCAACTCTGCTCAGATACCATCCCTGAAAGGCTTGGGGAACCATACGAGGTGCAAGCGATCAAACCCAGGTCGCCCACATGCAACAAAGCACCGGATCTGCTGTAGTACTGCTCAGCCTCATAAAACAATTTCTTTTCACATGCATATTCCTTCCATGTTCATCTTGAAGCAAGTTATCCAAACTTAACAGAACAGAAATTCTCTATAAAATGTAGTAGCAGAAAAGAAAATTTCACTTGGCAATACATGTTTTCATTTGGCAATAAATATACTGTTATCCCATATTAGATTTTTTTTAAAAGACAATTTTACTTTATAAAAATATTTTGCCATAAGGGATAACACTCACTGCTTAAGGCTAGTGTAATATGATACTTCGAGCCTCCAGGCCGACTAGCCTTTTCACAGGGCCAGCTGGCTACAGAGAATCTCTTCCATATGCCTCCTTGAGTGATGCCCCAGCGCTGTGTTCTAGTGGTCCTCCTGTGCTCCCTGCATTGTGCTTGCTCTTTTGTTTTGGCATGGAGCACTTGACTCTCCGTATACTCACCAGTATCATTTTCACAATCGAAGTCCAATCTACTGGTGACTTTGCAAGGTTATTTCAAATACAAATTTCAATTAATTAAAATAGACATTTAGTAAGACTGATTAAGAAGACATCCAAGAAGAAAATACTCATAAATTTTTATATAAAAAATGCAATTTTTTTTTCCTTTTTTGGTCATACAGGGGTTACTCCTGGCTCATGCGCTCAGGAATTACTCCTGGCGGTGCTCAGGGGACCATATGGGATGCTGGGAAATGAACCCGGGTCAGCCGCGTGCAAGGCAAACACCCTACCACTATCACTCCAGCCTCTAAAAAATGCAATTAAAAAAAAGTCCTAAAATTATTTTTTATCAAGATTTCTGGAGCGATAGCACAGCGGGTAGGGCGTTTACCTTACACGCGGCCAACATGGCCAACCCGCGTTCGATTCCTCCGCCCCTCTCGGAGAGCCCGGCAAGCTACCGAGAGTATTCGATATGCCAGACACAGTAACAACAAAGTCTCCAATGGAGACGTTACTGGGCCCGCTCGAGCAAATCGACGATCAACGGGAGGGCCTTTACCTTTTACCTTTATCAAGATTTCATTTGTTAGGGTGATGTCATACTTTAGCAAATTTTTCAGTTTGCTATATCTTTTTACTTGTATATTCTCAGTTGATCTTTCTAATAATCCCAAATATCTCCATTTTATAGAGGTTGAAGCTGGTTTAAAAAGGTCTATATATCTCGAACTATTACCCAGAGCTATATATGAAACTTAATCTTTATAGCACTAAAAAGCCTCAAGCAAACTCTCAAAGTGATCTAATCATCTTTCTCAATAGTATTTCACTTTAAGAACATATAGGTTAAACTTGAAAAAATATTTATGGAGCTGGGGATAGAATCAGAGAGAGTCACCCGTGGACATATGTTCTAACACCTGCTCACATCCCTGCCTGGTATATGAAACATTCATATACTTGCCTCAATATACATGGTAAAGTTGTAAACCATTAGATAATTTCCTTGAAACAAAAACACACTTAAAATGGCTAATTATTCCTTGATAAATTTTTCATTGAAATTAATCCTACTCTTCTAGCTCTTCTGGTGTAAGTTATTTCCTACACCTTTCAGCATTATAGTAAACAACAATATTAATTACAACGAATGGAGTTTAAGTACAAGTCACTGGGAGTACTCCTGAACTCCACAGGGTATGTTCCCACACCAAAATTAGGAGAGAGGGGTAGGGAAGAGGGGAGTGAGGGGAAGAGAGAGAAAGAGAGAGAGAGAGAATGAGAGAGAGATAGAGAGAGAAATTTAAAGTTCGAATTCATGAAGTAGAAGTCCGAGATTTTGGAAATAGCTTCCAGACTTGTCTAGGCAAGTAACTTTACTGAAATGACATTCTTAAATGCCCTGTAATACCTTTTCTTATAGTCAAAAGTATAACCAAAGTATAACCACATTTAAAAAACTGCCCTTAATTACATAGTACTCTGTTACTTACTTTTTGGTTTTGGGGTCATATGTTCTATTCAGTGGTGCTCAGGGCTTACTCATGTCTCTGTGCTCAGGGATCACTCCTGGCAGTGCTTGGGGGCTCACCTCAGGTCCAGGATTGAACCCCAGGGTCAGCCATGTGCAAACTCTCTCTGTACTACATCTCACTCTATCTTAGTCCTTTCTTATCTGACTTTTGAGAAACTAAACCATGATAATATATCAGAAGCTTCAAAAATCATTACTAATAATATCCTTAATTACAGAGAAGAACCCAATAATTTTATTGTTAAATATAAATACCCGTACAGTTACTAATGCTAGAAAATCAATCATCAAATTAGAATCCTATGACAATTTCCTAATTACTGTTGCCATTTCATATTTCTAAAAACTAAAATAAAAAAAACCTTTGATTTTAAGCCTTCTTAAATGTGCATAACCAACATTTTCTACACTTCACTTTTTTTTGGCCAGGTACAGTTTATAAGCATGCATACACATACTCATTCACATACCCAAAATTTAATAGAAGATCCAGGTAATGACCTGTCACACATGGCCCAAGTCACAGCTTGTGCCATCTGAAATGTCGTACACCTTGGGATACTGGAAATATGATATGTGTGTGTGTGTGTGTGTGTGTGTGTGTGTGTGTGAGATATGTACACACCAGCATGATCAGGGCTAACTCCTAGCTCTGACTCTGAAATCACTTCTGGCAGGCTCAGGAAGGTCATGTGGGGACCTGGGGATCAAACCCGAGTCAACTTCTTTCAAGCCAAGTGCCTTATCCACAGTTCTATCTCTCTGGCCCAAGGATTCATGCTTTGGAGAGAAATGCTGGCTACAACTGGCTTGTGGGGCAGAGTGAATACCACCACTTGCAAATAGGACTTCATCTTTAGTTGATACCACGGGGTTTGGGAGCATCGAATGGTGTAGAACAAAGTCTTAATTAAGCAAATGAAACAAACATAAAATAACTCACCAAACACACAAAAATCCATCCAGATTTTATAGAAATCATGAAGTAGAAGGTAGCAAGGGTTGGAAAATCTATAAATTCCTAAAGACAACCTAATGATTGTCTTCCTAAAAATGCAAAGCCCTGTAAACTTTTCAAAATTAAGGACTGTGCTGTTTGTTGCATATTAATAATTGATATTAAAGTTCCATATTTTTCAAATCTCAAACTCTTTGTACCAATATTTATCAGTGAATTCTTTGTCCTTGAAGTTAGGGTTTTTTTCATCTAAAATGTAAGACTAAATTACAGACTTCTCTTATTTGTCTTTGCTCAGGACTCTCAACTGTTCAAGGATAAATTAATTAGTGACAATTACACTTATAGCATTTATCAGTGTTATATATGCTAGCAAAATCTTTTTTACCCCTACCACTCAAAGTAAATATTAGATATTTTCATTCAAAACAATAAAAGAATATATTGTTATTAACAAGCAATTCTTCCCTGCTTTTTTTCACTTCTACACTTGATCTTAACCCAAAGCATGAAAACCATTGCTTCATTACTAATGTCTCACTGTCTTATTAGGTCCCGCCAATCATGTTAGATTGTGAGAATGAAGGGATTTGAAGAATATGATGTCATGACTAATGATCCATATTTAAAGAAGCTGACAATAAACTCAGCAAAAGGTAGAAATTACAGTTTTAACTACTATATATACTTTTTTGTGTCGGTTCCCATTATTATTATAGCTCCAGGTATTCTTCTGAAACTTGCTATTAAATAATTTCAGAAGGTAATTTACACAATTGACTACTGGGTTTAATATGATTAGCAATCAACTGAATAAAGCTTTCATTCTAAAAGAAATTACTTTTTATACCATATATTATATTTATAAAACAAATAAAAATCTAGGTAAAATGTTTTAAAATACTTAAAAATTTCAGACATTTCATAATTTCTAATGCAATGCTATCACTGTAAGCACAGATACAAACATAAAAACAAACACATACCAAAAATAAACAAATACATGCACAAACACACATATAGAGATACATACTACACTAATTTAGACAGAGTGTCTATTTTTTAAGTAATTAGTAGGAACTATGAATTGTATCCAAAAATAGTTTTGTTGGCGATAGAGCTAATACAGAAAGTGGGTGCTTGCCTTTCATGCAATCCCCAGGATTGCATATAATTCCCCCAAACACCACTAGAGGTGATCACTGAGCAAAGAGCCTGTGGTAGACCCTGAGAAATCCCTCTTCCAAAGAAAAAAAAAAGAGAAAGTAATTTTTTATTAAATAAGCACCTTCAAAAATATGTGACTAAAATATATTTTATAAACTTTCTTCTAAAAATCATTATGACCCTGGGTCCCTAGCATATGATCTACTGATGTCTGATCACCAGCGCCACATATGGAATGACCCAGATCACTGCTGGGAGTGATCCTGAGCACAGAACCAGGAGCAAGACCTGAGTATCATCAAGTGTGGCCCCCAACTCCCAACCCCTAATCAAACAAGTCCAAAACCAAACCAAAATTAAAAAATCACCATAATTGCCACTATACTCACAAGCTATTCTCTGTTAGATGAACAAGAATTTCACTAATTCTTTACCTCTTTGTTCCCAACCCTCTGCATGGCATCTCCCAGGTGGAAATAGAATCGCCCGTCATCTGTACCAGGATCCCCAGATTCTATTCCTTCCTGTGGAAAGAACAGTGGCAGTATTTAGGAAAGAATTAAATAAATTTAATTCATTGTCTTACCTAATCATCACACACCATTCAACAAATATAAGAACCAGAAAATTTATCTCAGTACTATGGTGCAGCAATTAGGTTACTGGTCAACACAAAACAAAACAAATAGTAAAGTGAGAAAACTAAAAATTTTTTTCCATGCATTTATCATTAGCTGTAATAGTCCATATAATTAGTATAGTGCCTTGTCAATTGTCTCTGTGTCCTCAACAATATTTCACATTCAATTTCTTTGGCTGATGTCTATCACATTAGTTTTGCATTCTAAATCTGACCACAAGCCATCTTAAGGACTACTGCAGCACCAAAATATTCAGTTATCCACACAGTGTTTGAAGTGACAGAGATCTAATGGCAAGTATTTTTCTTTTTTCTTAAAACTAATGGACATTCCCTTTGAGTTAAAGTTTCTACAAAACTTGTAACAGGATTAAAGCTAAATGGTGGGGGTTTTATTGCATCCTTAAGATATAGTCCCAGAAGTGGTATTGCAGGGTCATATGGAAGCTCAACTTTGAGTTTTACCTCTCAGTGTATATATTGCTAACCATAATGCCCAAAAGTAGAGAGAGAGTATGGGGAATATTATCTGCCATGGAGGCAGGGGGAGGGTGGGGAAGGGGGGGGGGGGGGTATACCGAAGATATTGGTGATGGGGAATGTGCACTGGTGGAGGGATGGATGTTTGATCAATGTGTGATTGTAACCCAAACATGAAAGTTTGTAATTATCTCACAGTGATTCAATAAAATTAAAAAAAAAATAAAAAGCTAAATGGTGGGGCTGGAGTGATTATACAGCGAGTATAGGGCATTTGCCTTGTATGTGGCCAACCCGGGTTCGATTCCCATCATCCGATATGGTCCACCGAGCACCACCAGGAGTAATGTTGAGTGCAGAGCCAGGAGTAACCCCTGTGAATCATTGGGTGTGACCCAAAAAGGAAAAAAAATAAAGCCAGGGCTCCTTGGAGGAGGGTGGGTTGAGTTTCCCTCCCCGCCCCGAGCAGAGCTCTGGCAGCCAAAGACCTCCAGAACCAGCCACAACCAGGCTGAGACCACTCTTCACACGCATGAAGGTACCGGCAGAGGAACAAAGGCATACGGGTCCCAGGGCTGAGATCTCCAAGCCTGCTCGGATTGGGGCTGAGCATCCTCCACCCAGATCTTTCATCTTCCAGTAGGCAGGGGTCACACCCACCAACTGACCCCCCCGGCACAGTGTAATCCCATCAACGGCCAAGACCCAGAAACTATAAAACCCAGCTCCCAGCCGCACGACATCTTATTATCTCATTGCGACATCTTATTATCTCATTCTTATTTTGGACAACCTGGCAGGCTACCGAATGTAACGTGCCCACACGGCAGAGTCTGGCAAACTCCCCGTGGCATACCCAATATGCCAAATACCAGTAACAATGATGGGTCTCATTCTCCTAACCCTGAAAGAGCCTTGAATATGGCACTTTTGAAAATCTCAGGGCTAGGACAAAGGAGATGTTACTGGTGCCTGCTCGAGGCAATTGACGAACAACAGGATGATCTTGATCGTGATGGGTATTGTTAAAAACAGAACTATTAGTAAACAAAACCCATCCTAAAACTGGTCATTAAACCCATTTCCTGTGGGAAATCAAGATTTATGGTAAAAATGAGAGGAAGGAACCTTGGAGACAGCACGGGGGTCTGGGGTCCGCATAAAAGTTCTGCTCAGGTGGGGCCCGGGCTTCATCCCCTGTCACCACTGGGTGTTGTGTATTGGATCCTGACTTCCCAGCACTGCAATGCTCTTGTAGCACAAGAGCACAAGCTACAAGAACACTGGGCTCTTGGGCACAAGCTTTGAACCATCCTGCCCTATTGCCCAAGTTATCACCAGAAGTTGCTCCAGGATCCCCTGTGCACTGTTTGGGAGTCCTCCCCCTCCCCCCTCCCCCCTCCCAAATACTGATGAAAACGAAATTAGGAAAGCAAATGATGAATTCTTTCTAAAACTTTGCATCTTTGAGCTTGCTTTGTAAGGAGTCCATTATCTTTCATTATGAAAAAATGCTACTGACGTTACTTGGGAAAGCGTATGCGGGAACAGGAGTGGGACATTCTAGCAGAGAGCTGTGATCAGGGCTCTGGCTTGACCCAACAGACATTCAAATGTCCTCTTGCATAAGCTTATGAGGGTGGCCCTTCTTGTTCTGTGTCTGAAGCGGAGAGAATATAATTAGGCGCTTATTATGCTGAAGGGAATGTATAGGAAACTCTTTTAATCAGAGAAACCCTTACATCCACAGCGTTTTTGAGCTAAAATGCAGAAAGGTTTGCAATGGCCAGTGATACCAAGACTTGGGGGAAAATGTGTGTGTGTGTGTGTGTGTGTGTGTGTGTGAGGGGGGTGCCCCCTCAGGGGGATACTCAGCTCCTTTTGTCCTAGGTATGTGTATCAGAAAGTCTTGAATGTTGTTTCAAGATAAAACAGGCTTCTGAGGTTCTATACAACTATTTAAATTATTTGTAATTCAAATTTTATCCCTTCAATGGGTGCATTATTGCTAGTTATTCTCATGTCAGAGTATAAATAAAAATATGTTCACTGTGGCAGAAAGTTTTTTGTTTAGTTTATTTTTTTACCACTTTCATTGAAGTAGAGGGGTTAACAATAGTGTGAATTATACTATTCATGCATACATAATTTCAGTGCCCTGCCCTTCACCAGAGTGCTCATTTCCTCCACCATTGCTCAAAGGACCCCTCCAATTTCTCTATACAACTGTAATCTCATTCTATAAACAAAAGGGAAAAAAATCTCCAGTTCTGATGACTCTGGCCATTTGTTTCCCCCTTACTATGTCTCTTTATGTATCACATATGAGATCTATGGCAAAAGTTATTTGGGAAGCCCTGAGCTAGATGAAATATGATTCTGCTGAATTGATAAGGATTCCCTTAGACATGGGAAAGAACAATGAGGACACAAACACACACACAAATATATATATATATATATATATATATATATATATATATATATGCTGGAGCTATAGCACAGCGGTAGGGCATTTACCTTATAAGTGGCCAACATGGCTGGCTCGAGTTCGATTCCTCCACCCCTCTCGGAGAGCCCAGCAAGCTACTGAGAGTATCTCGCCCGCACGGCAGAGCCTGGCAAGCTCCCCGTGACGTATTTGATATGCCAAACACAATAACAACAAGTCTCATGATGAAGACGTTACTGGGCCCGGCTGAGCAAATCAATGAAAAACGGGAGGACCATGACCGTATATATACATATATATATATATATATATGCATATACACACACACACATATATATATGCATATACACATATTTTTGGCTTTTTTGGGTCACACCCAGCGATGCACAAGGGTTAATCCTGGCTTTTCTCTCAGGAATTACTCCTGGCGATGCTCAGGGGACCATATGGGATGCTGGGGATGGAACATGGATCGGCAGCGTGCAAGGCAAATGCTCTATCCCCTGTGCTATTGCTCCAGCACCAATGAGGGGACACATATTTTAAATGAATGTCACAGGGGCAAAGTTGGGATGCCTGTGATCAATCTGGTGGTACCTGGGATCAGGGTCATAAGGAACATCTAATGCTGGGAGCCAACAGGATTTCACCCAGCAGTGCTGGGGTACCCTGTAGTGCAAGGGATGAAATTCCGGCTCCTGCAACATGCTAGCAATGTGCCTATGACTTAGGCCATATTCTTGGTGCCTGATAGTGCATTTTAATCTGAGTAATTTGTGCTAATTCTTTCTGAGGTCCGATCTGATCAGCCTGTATTTGCTACTACATTTTGTATAGATTCCTCTGTTCATATTAGACTCATTGTGTAAGTGAACTATAAAAGGAACACTTCATACATCACCCTACTGTAAAATACTGTAACAGTCATTTTTGTCTATCTTCACCACGTAAATAAAAATCAAGAACACCAACAGTTGGAGAATTTCTTCACAAATCTCCTCACCTGCATGGTATTTCTGTATCCGACACACAATTATAATGACAACATACACTGTGGATTTCATTGTCAGAGAGGACATAGTTTGCTGATGAAAAGACTCAGCAACGCATAACAGTCAATCCACAATCCATAAGCAAGGGTGTCCACACAACTCAAATGAATCTGAGGCCGAGAAGTTAGGAAGAGCAGGGCCCATTACCTTCAAATAGGGAATGCTCTCAGCGATCTTGTTCTGCGCCTTCAGGATAAAGCCATAATGCACTTTAGCAAAGCCATCATTAGGCTTCACGTTCAGAACCTAAACTCAAAGAGAACAAAAATAAATATTTTAATTAATTATAAATTCTATAAATGATAGTCAAAACAAATTTTAATATAGTTGAAAACATGATTCTTTTGTCTTACTGCAATATATGCAACTTAAATGGCTTTATTTCCCCTCAACTCAAAACCTTTTCTTATCTACACATTTAGTTCTTCAAGAATGAAGCAACAAATGAAAAGTCACTGATTGTTAGAGCATTGCATTAACAACACAAATCAGAAAAAAATAATCTGTCAATTGATATGTCTTCATTAAATCTGCTTTACATTTGCTGTACTTGAAGTCAATTCCCATTATACAATTATCTGCACTCTTTATACTTGTCTTATTAGGAGAAAACTGAGATTTGCATTTATGAGATACAACATAAATTTATCCATTTACTCAACATAAGGACTGGAGTGATAGCACGGTGGATAGGGCATTTGCCTTGCATGAGGATGACCCGGGTTCAATTCCTCCGTCCCTCTCGGAAAGCCTGGCAAGCTACTGAGAGTATCCCACCCACAGGGCAGAGCCTGGCAAGCTCCCCGTGGCGTACTCAATATGCCAAAAACAGTAACAACAAGTCTCACAATGGAGACATTACTGGTGCCCGCTCAGGCAAATCGATGAACAACAGGACGACAGTGCTACAGTGCTGCAGTGCTACTCAACATAAATTTCTTGAGTCCACGTGAGAGCTGAGGAGAAGCAAATCTAATCTTCTGTGATAAAACTCTGGTAAATATGTAATACAAATCAAATCATTGTTTATTATCAAAAGCATTTATTATGATTAAAGATAAACTCTGCAAAATGCCTCTAAGTTGAATATTAGCAGCGAGAAATCAAAACAACATTCAACATGTGAAGACGCTTACGGAAGCTAATTTACAGAACACAAGTAGGAGATGAAGAAGATCTGAACTGAGTGGATGGAGAGCAAAGATTTCCTGGGGTTCCTCTTCATCTTTGAGTCTGAGAAGGAAAGAGAAGCCAGAGGCATCAGGCATTCCTTACACAGGAGCATGGACAACGAGAACATAACACCTTAGGAGTAACTAGTGACAGGCATTTTGGGGGCACAGAGGAGGATCCCATCTGCTTTCAGGAGGATATGGTATAAGGAAGGTAAACCGGAGATGCCAGGGATAGGGAAAGCAGAGGAGATTGGGGTGAAAGGCATTCACGTGAAGCATGAGAATGACTTAGAGGGGTCTTGGCAGGAACAGATAGAGAATGAAAGTGGAGAAAAGGGTGCAGGTAAATCAAAAAAGGTTTTGTTGATTATCTTGTGCAAGCGAACCCTCTGGGGAGCACACAGAAATAGCAAATGATTCCACTTGCATTTTGAAATATAATACTTAGTATTCAGTGGGCTCCTGTGCTCCCTTTTCATCTGCACGATGAACAGTTTTGCATCTCGTTATCTCAAGGGATGGAGCTTGAGAATAAACACCCAAAGGAAGCCAGCCAGCAGCGCTGCCTTTTCTGCTTGGTTCCTCACCATCATCTACTGTGCCTGTGGCCCTTTACAGGGGACACATGAGGATGTGATGGCTGTTTTATATAGTAACCCATGGCCCTTGAAAATAGGAGAACACTTATAAAAAACCCAGGTTGAAATTAATACTAATATGACACGAAGTCTCTCTTTCTTTACACACCCCCATCCCCAAAGAATATCTGGCCCAGTAAAAACACTTTGCATGGCACATTATCAGGACTGAAAAATCATACAATCACATAGTACTACATATTGATACTACTAAAATTATTATTAAGACATTAAATTGTTGGGGATGGAGTAATGATAGCACAGTGGGTAGGGTGTTTGCCTGGCACGTGGCCGACCCAGGTTCGATTCCCAGCATCACATATGGTCCCCTGAGCACCACCAGGAGTAATTCCTGAGCACATGAGCCAGGAGTAACCCCTGTGCATTGCCGGGTGTGACCCAAATAGTGAAAAAAAAAAGTCATAAAGGACAACCATGAGAACAAGCTGAGTTCCACAAAAGATTCAGCATGATCTACCACATCCACAAGATAACCAAGCTCATTGAGGTTTCTTGGGAGTTCAAGATGCTGCTCTGTCTAACGTTCATTGATTTAAAGAAGGCCTTTGATTCTGTTGAGATGGAAGCAGTCATTGAAGCCCTAGCCAAATCAGGGCATTCAAACTCAATACATCAGGATCCTTCGTGAGCTGTATTATGGGTTCACTATCAGGATCTCACCATTCTACGAAGAAGTGATCATTGATGTCAAGAGAGGGGTTCAGCGAGGTGATACCATTTCACCAAAACTCTTCAGTGCCACCCTTAAGAACATCATGCGATGACTGGAATGGGAAGGAATGGGAATGAAGATAGACAGTCGGCAACTACAGCACCTTCCCTTTGCTGATGACATTGTTCTAATAACACCAAACATTGGCCAAGTGGCACAAATGCTGGCCAACTTCGACCATGAGTGTGGAAAGGTCGGACTCCAGCTGAATCTCACAAAGACAACGTTTATGAGAAACAGTCTCGTTCCTGATGTTCCATTCACTCTCAACGGAATGACTATTTCCGAATGCAACAGTTATGTATACCTAGGTCGAGAACTCAACATGATGAATGACCTGGCACCTGAGCAACGCAGGAGGAAGAGAGCAGCATGGGACGCCTTCAAGAGCATCGAATAAATAGCTAAGAGGACGAAGAACCTACAGCTCTGGGCACATCTCTTTGATTCCACTGTTCTCCCTGCACTAACATACGCCTCAGAGACTTGGGCCCTACGAAAACAGGATGAGAACACTCTTTGGTTACTCAAAGAGGAATCGAAAGAGCTACACTTGGAGTATCACACTTCACTCAAGTGAGAGAAGGAATCTGGAACACCTAGAGCAAATCAAGACTGGGAAGACAAATCTATCCTACTTGAGGCAAGGATGAATTATAAGTGCCTGGGTTAATAAGAGGAGATTTGATGGAACTCTTTGGAAATGGAAAGATAAGTCAGTGTCCAGATGCAGAAGCTGTGGCACCACCCAGGGAAGGGTGGACCCTTCAGAAAAGAAGCTTCAAGGGAACTGAGGGTCACAGTGCCTATATAAAAGAGTCCAAGGCTTTTTTTGCCTGTGACAACACTCAGACTAAGTTCCCCGTATGCAGATAATTCTAGGTCAAGGCAGTTCTGAAGCATCAGACTAAAATCATCTTTTGTGAAGGCACTTGGCGCTCACTCTCCACACTGAACGCTGGACCACATCTCATCCTCTCAGCCTCTCGACTTTTCCCTCTCTGGCTAAGCTCAGGTTCTCTCTTGAACATGTATCTCTCTCTCTCTCTCTCTCTCTCTCTCTCTCTCTCTCTCTCTCCTCACATTTATCTTGGTAAATTTTTTAAAATATAAACAGTTTTACTTTACTTAAAAAGGGGGATTAAAAAAAATATTCCAAAGGTAAAGCTAGCAGATATCAAGGATTTGAAGCAGACCGTTTTAAGAGGGCATGAGACATTTCTTCCCTTACCCATCATTTCCAGGAAGCGTGTGAGGTTTTCATAGACATGCACCAACTAAGCAGATGGAGGCATGTATGAGGGAGGGAGGAGAAGAATATGGGAGGATGCTCGAACTCCGACTGTGGGTAACGGGTAGCTGGCGGTGCTACAAAGCCACAGACGTGAGCCATCCATGCCAAAGTATTTAAAAATCGGTCTTTCTTGAAATGAAAACCAGAAAAAAAAAACCAGAAAGGGAAATAGAATGATTTTCATAGATTTAACTAAAAAAAGTCAACACTCAAGAAAAATAAAACATTATGATATCAGTTTTCAGAAAACGATCACTGACAGAAACAAAGACATCATCAGGCTAAAGTATGGTTAAGGAGAGAGAATCCATTAGCTCTAGCTTATTAGTCCAGAGGTGAGAGGAGGGAACACAAGGCGAATCACACACACATTTTTAGATTATTAAATGCGTAAGCTACTCAACTGCATAACATCGTTATGGTTTAGACTTTTTGCACCCTACTGTTCTTCTTTAGATAGGACTGTGATTTCAAGTGTATAAGCAGCAGGTAAATTTTGTTTTTCATGACAAAGTAAAATCTGACATGAAAGAAATTTAGTATTATGTGAAAGGAATGTATATATTGTAAATATATAAACTGAAGAAAAATAATGCTCTCAGATAATGCTCTAAACTTAAATGTTCTTGGCACCCACCCTATAGGTTATAGGTAATCATATAATGTTTTTTTGGGAGGGTGGGAGGGAAAGAAAGGGAGGAAGGGGGAGAGGAAGAAAGAAAAGAAGGAATAAATAAAGGAAGGAAGGAAAGAAGGAAAAGAGGAGGTGAGGGTAGAAAGGGAGTGAGAGAGGAAGGAAGGGAGGGAGGAAGGAAGGAAAATTTATCTTTGTGGCTTCTGACAGGGAAAATAAAGCACATGTCTGGCAGATATGTATGTTTTATATCCTTACGGTACTGAATCAGAGATCAGAGAACGCTGACTTTAACCAGACTTTGCAAATTTAATGTTTTGGTGATTAGACAACGAGGTTTCTTTCAGGCCCGAGGGAAGGCGCTGGGATTCGGTACTTGACGGCCCCCACACTCTCAGTCTCCCAGGTCCTGTTTCATAGAGCCCTGAATCTCGCAACCACTGCTTGAGCTGACCTGGTGGGCAACCTCCCTCAGGCTCTTATATTGAACTACCTTCACCGGGAGAGGTCCCTAGGCCCCTAAACACCCCTTAGGAGGCCCCCTACCAGAACAAAAACAGAAAAAGAAAGAAAATCCAATGATTTATTTTGTGACCTGGGATTGGCATATTTGCAGATGGCATAAATTTTCAGAAAGAAGAATCAATCCACTCTGAGTAGATATTAGAGAAGCTATAATAACCATAGATCTTATTTCTGCTTTTTTTTTTCCAGAAAAGGGAAAAAGTTATATCAAGGCTGAAAAGACACTTCATCTGAAATTCAGGGATTTCCAGTTAGTCATCAACAGACATAGGAACGCACCACTCCGAGTAAACAATCCCAGACCAAGTCTGAGGTCATTCTGCCACGGGTTTCACATCAGAAGTCACCACACGGGCTGTCCCCAAGACGCTGCATTTGCACATGAACTTAGTGTGCTGCTTGAAAACCGACAAATGGTCTTAATGAAAGAAATAACAAGCAAATGTCTTGTTCGTCTTTCTTTTACGGAGGCATTAACCTTTTCAGCCTATAAGTTCATTTGGTATCCTGTACATTCTGGGTGAAATGAAATTCCTTATTGTTTGAAGAAGTTATGCACTTCTTTTATTTTTAATTGAATCACTGTGAGGTACAGTTACAAAGCTTTCATGATTGAGTTTCAGTCATACAACGGTCGAACACCCATCCCTCCACCAGTGTACATTTCCCACCACCAATGTCCCCTGTATCCCTCCTGTCACTCCTACCCCACCCCACCCCTGCCTTTGTGGCATCACTTTCCTTCTCATTCTCTCTCTACTTTGGGGCATTATGGTTTGCAATACGGATGCTGAGAGGCCATCACAAAAAAGATTTTACAACTATCTGTGATTTGGAAGGTATATACCAAAATATCCATTATAAGCTTTTCAAAGGTTTCCATACCAGAGGATGGAAGAGTCAAAACTCTCTGAAAGGTGAGTAATTTACTCCACAGCCCCAAAAAGCTCCTTCCTCTTCTCTAGTCTCTTTCCACTAAAAAAAGTGGAAAAGAGAAAATATTATGTGTTCTTACAAATGTGATAAACATGAGTTCCTTTTGCTATCATAAAGAACTCTTATAAAAAGCCTGTCATAAATTGATAAATTTGTAATTTTTTTTTGTTTTGGTTTTTGTTTTGGGTCACATCTGGCTCCGTGCTCAGGAATCACTCCCAGCAGTTATGAGAAGATCATGCAGTGTCAGGGAGAGAATCTAGTTAAATATGAAGTTAAAAAACAAACAAACAAAATCATAATTACGGTGTATGGTGTCACCAGCAGGTCAACCTGTACTTGTCAGGCGAGTGCATCAGCAGCCTGATGATGCCTTCAGGCTTCCTGATACCCTATAATTGCAACACTGTGCCTCTGACCAGAGCCCAACAACTTGGGACCAAGTTTTCTGAGAAATTAAGCCGCCAAAAGTTAGGTATGTGGGAGTCATGCCCACAAACCACCTCCAGCTCAGCTATATGAGCTCATTGATTGGATTAATTTTAGAGACCCCCAAAATAAATCTCAAAAGAGATCAGAAGTCTTAGTTTATCTTGTACCTGCGAAAGGCTGAGCAAAGAGAGGGAAATCAGAGGGGGTTGGGTCAGTCTGGTGCACGCATACCCAAACAAAGTCCCTGGCAGCTTGCTTCCACAATCCAAAATTTTCAGCATGCCCTGACTCCACCGTCTCTGGACGGACCTCACCAAGATATAATCTGCTGAAAATTTGTGTATGTGGGTTTTGTGATTGAACTCTCCAGGCTTTCTCAGGGTCGGGATGTGCTACCTCCTCCCACCTCGTTGTACCTCCAAGAAGCCTCAGCTGTCATGTCCATACCCCAAAACTGCCACCCAGTTGAAAAGTTACTCCAGCCATCCTCTCCTGATAAAAATACCGAGTGCCCTGAACAAATGCCATGACCTCTTAGCACCTGTATTGCAAACCATAATGCACAAATATAGAGGGAGGCTGGGGACAGGGGGTGGGGTATTGGGGGATGGTGGGAGGAAAATGGGGGACAGTGGTGGTGGGAAATGTAGACTGATGGAGGAATGGGTGTTGGATCAGTGTATGACTGAATCCTAAAAATGAACAACTTTGTAATGGTCTCTCTCATGGATATTCAATAAAAAGTAATTAAAAAAAAAAGTAATGTGGAGTTCATGCCTGCTTCAGTCAGCTTAATCAGTGACTGAATAAACAGCAGTATTCCTACATTAAAAAAAAAAAGTCACGATTATAAGATGAAATTTTCCAAGTACTAAATTACCCAAAATGTCATCTTTTCTGATAAGGGAAAAAAGGGATATGAAAACAAATGTTAGAATATGTCAGTTATCTTAAAACTTTACCACCTTGACACAATACTTCACGTTACTCGAGAGGACTGAGAGGCAAGGTGTATTGAAAGCAATTTACAAATGACATTAGAAATGCATGATCCAAGTCATTTGATATAATTAACAAAAGACTGCTGCTTGTTTACCTCTTCATACACCTTCTTGGCACCGTCATTATCCCCGAGCAAGAGGTACCCCACTCCAAGGTCATTCTTTAAAGAAGTCTCATCCGGAAAGAGTTGAACTAATCTCTGGAGGGTGAGCAGGGACCCTCTCATGTGACCTGATTCGGTGGGAAGAAACAAAAATAGAGATTAAGCAAACTATGTACAGGTCCCAGAGAAGCAGTTCGAGAACAGAGGCCTGGCCTTGTATGGGCCAAGCCTCAAGTTAAACCCCAGCCTGGTATGATTCCCAGTGCATTGCTGGGCGCAGGCCTGGTGGCTCCCAATCCCATCAGGACCAAGCAGCATTGCTTCACTGCCAAGATCTGAACACCAAAAACATCAAGTCCACACCTCCAGGAAGAGCACTGCCAGCAGAAGCCCCAGCTCCCAAGTTCCCCTAGGATGGGCCTTATTAAAAATAAATTAGCCAGCACATTACAGGCAGCTTTATATTGAAGCCATAAATCACAAGAATTTACCCTACAGAGCTCACATGAATACATAAATCTGACTCTTGGTAATAGACAGTTATGTGGAAATATTAGGATTTTATCATGTAATAGCAATCGTATCAATACGTCCAGTAGATCCTGAATATAATACTGATCACAAACATTTTAAAGAAATTCTCATTTTCTAAGCTGATCATTTACATTTTTATGATACATAAGTAAAATTTCCCTTCAAGGGTGTCCTCTTGCCAATCCTTTGTCTCAAATGTTTTTACTGAGATTGTTTTGGTTTAGCATGATTACTTTAAAGAATGAATATAGGACAGGCAAATAAAAGTCAGGGCCTCAAACCAGGCGCAAACGTGAAGAGGCCCACAGCTGACTTGGTTTCTGGTGAAGAATGTCATTTCCGGGATCACCTCGGCATGGAGCAAATGTCACATCCTACAGTGTTATGGCACCCTCTTGTGGACGACTGGATGCAATGCACTACGCACGTTCTGCAAATCACTTTGAAAATGTCCTGAAGGAAATGTTAAATTTCCAGGACGGATTGTTAGTACTTCTGGGTGCAGCTGTAAAGTCAAACTGATGAAGGTGGAAAATACTAAATCAGCTTGATACAGATGACAAAAGTAAACTGGAAAGGAGCAGTTGCCCACACACTTAGTATGAATCAAAACTGAGGAAGGACTATAAAGAAACCAATGCCCCGTATATCCCAAACTAACAGATAAACTATTACACACAGAATATCATCAATGTAGCCTATAGCTTTCCCGGAGGATGCTTCAACATTACTTCCTCAGTAGCAAATCAGACTGTTCTTTTCAGTTCCTTTTCTTCCCTCAACTTCCCATCTATTAGGGTTATACACACCAGCACTCCAGATAATGCTCAGAGACCCCTGGCTCTGTACTCAGGGATTGTTCCTGCTGGAGCTCAAGAGACCACATGGAGTTCTTTGAGATTGAACTTGGTTGCCCACATGCAAAGAAAGCACCCTAACTTCCTGTGATATTTCTCTAGCAACTTCTCTTTCTTGTTTAAGAAGAATGATAGGTTTATTAAAAGAAATGTGAGAGGAGAAAACACAGTAGTGAGAGAGAGAGATGCGTGTTCATGAGAATACTGGTTTCACCAGAGAGAAAAATCCAAGAGAACACATCGCAGGTTGAGAGTGGGCTAACCTTCAGGGTGGAGAATGAACCCTTTCTTCTAGATATCCCCTGAGCCCTGGTGAAATCTCTCTCGCACCCTGAGGCCCTTCATCCCTTCATTATACACCAAAACCTGTTTTCTTTTTTTTTTTTTCTTTTTGGGTCATATCCGGCGATGCACAGGGGTTTACTCCTGGCTCTGCACTCAGGAATCACTCCTGGAAGTGCTTGGGGGACCATATGGGATGCTAGGAATTGAACCTGGGTCGGTCGCGTGTGCAATCGCTCCAGCCTCTAGATCCTGTTTTCTTTCTTTCTTTTATTTTTTAAAATTTTTTATTAGTGAATCACCATGGGGTACAGTTACAGACTTACAAACTTTTGTGTTTGCGTTTCAGTCATACAATGATCAAGTACCCATTCCTCCACCAGTGCCCATTCTCTACCACCAACGATCCCAGTATCCCCCCCTCCCAGCCCCCTCCCCAGCCTCAGTGGCAGGGCATTCCTTTTTGTTCTCTCTTTCCTTTTGGGTGTTGTAGTTTGCACTAGAGGCACTGAGTGGCCACTGTGTTCGGTCTATAGTCTACATTAGGCTTGTATCTCCCAACTCGAGCTTATACCCTTTTTTCTTGTGGAGAAATTTTTTGAGAGAAATTTCCCCCCATAGCACATTCACTACCATCAACCGTTTACACTTCCCTAATCACGGAGCCTCTTCTTGTGATCTAACCTTAATATTAAGAGAAAAATAAACTGATATACTAAAGAGAGTTAGTTATATCTGTAGGCAGTCTTTTCCCAGGGCTGGGTATAGGATGAGATAGGGAAGTAGCACTGTAGCACTGTCCTCCCGTTGTTCATTGATTTGCTCGAGCGGGCACCAGTAACATCTTCATTGCAAGACTTGTTACTGTTTTTGGCATAATGAATATGCCACGGGGAGCTTGCCAGGCTCTGCCATGTGGGCGAGACACTCTCAGTAGCTTGCAGGGCTCTCTGAGAGGATGGAGGAATCGAACCTGGGTCGGCTGCTTACAAGGCAAACGCTCTACCCACTGTGCTATTGCTCCAGCCTGAGTTAGGGAAGTACTCAGTACAAAGTTTAAAAGGACACTAAATAGAGCTAGTAAGCGAGATCAATGTAGTTGCATGCATGCTTCTAAAAAATTAGACAATAAAAATATTTTGAAATGGAGGTCACAGGGACAGATTGTTTGACAGCTTAGTATACCTTCATCACAAGCATAAATAAGGTGGTGAGATAAATAGTCAAGTGCTGTAACATATGATCCTGCAGGTGTGTTGTTCAAACATAGAGCTTCTACTGTCCCTGGCACCCAGGATGCAAGCCACTTCCGGCTGTACCACATACGGGTATGTGTGAGCACCACAGCTGAAACAGTGTGAGCCCTGAGAGCATGCAGCACCAAGGTCAGGCATGAGACCTGGTCAGCACATCCAGACTGTGCACAAGGACCACCACTCATGGAGTGCAACTCTCGGAAGGCACCACAGCCAAGCCTATGAGCACTGCGAGGTGATGCCTGACCCCTAGCGAGTGTCACAAATGGATGGACAACTACAGCCAGGCATGAGCATGACCCCAGGTCACTGCGACAACAACAGTGAAGAGAAGGCCAGGGAACGGGGGGACATGAGAATTCAAAAAAATATTAACAACAAGCAAGATGTCAACATTTGAAAGACAGGATCAGTGACCGAGGCTAAAGAGCTTGTTTTGAAGCCTGCAGGAATCTCAGTGCCATTGGTTTTGCTTTATTTCTATTTTGGGGGCCTACTCCTGGCAGTGCTCAGGGTTACTCCTGGCTCTGTGCTCAGATGTTACTCCTGGTGGTATGCAGGGCACCGTATGCAGTGTCAGGGATTGAATGCAGTCAGCTATGTGCAAGGACTTATCTCTAGTCCCAGTACCAGTTTTTTATACCCAGTGGCAACTTTGCAACTCTGCACATAGATCCCAGCTTGCTTTTTGCAGCCTGTGTATGTGCTGTATGTTTTTCTTGGACTGGCTCTGTTAAATGGCATGCTTCTTCCAGTTTCTAATCATCACTTGAGTTCTACTCTCACCAAAAATTGTGATCATTTACCAAAGTGATGCAAACACCTTTAATGGCAACCTAAAAGAATTTATAAAGCAGTTGGCCGTCGATATTATTTACAAGAGCTACAACTGGTAACATTGGTAATTCATCTCTGTGATTTGTCTAGCCAGCCAAGTACCCACCTTTGCAATTAAACATGAGGGATGGAAAGAGAAAGGTGATAAAAGAACCAACTCCCCCTGTGCAATTACTAATGGAAATTGTTATTTCAGCCTAAGATGTAGGTCACTGTCACTATCACTGTCCTCCCATTGTTCATCGATTTGTTCAAGCGGGCCCAGTAACACTGTGAGACTTGTTGTTACTGTTTTTGGCATATCAAATACGTCATGGGGAGCTTGCCAGGCTCTTCCATGTGGGCAAAAAGATGTAGGTAAATGACACAAAACGCTTTTTAAGTTCAATTTTCCTTCTGTGCAAGGAAACTTGTCTAGGTGGAATAACCTTCAGGCTCTTGGAGATAAACACATTGCATTGGCTGCTGCTTCGTAACTCTGGCTCTGTCTTACCTAGAAATTGCTGTCGCTCTGAGCGCCGCTTCAAACTCAGCCTCACCAGATCCGCGGGGGCGTCAGGCAGGTCGGCCACCTCCTGGTAAGTCTCTATGGCCCCACGGAGGATCTCATTGCTCCTCCTCTTCTCAGCCAAATCATCTTCACACTAGAAGGAGGGACCAAGTTGGGTAAATGTTTCCTGATGAACTATGTTTGCAATCACCCAAAATATTCACAGAAAGTTAACTTTTGTATATAAATGTTATGGCAGACCATTTAGAAATGTCTACCTGTCAAGAGATTCAATATGCAAATGATGGGCTAGGAGATAAAAGAGGGTTTAAGGGAGAGGCCTTGAAGATGGCCAAGCCTGGTTTGATTCCTGACACTACTTGATGCCAGCATCAATGGGTGCAGCTCTGGAGGTCGCTGAGCACTGGCGGGAGGGTTCGGGGAATCAGGGTCATCACAGGGCTGGAGCAGCACCAGTGGACTATGGTTGGACAATCAGGCCCCCCACGGGCCTCTGCATCACTGCTTGGAAGAACCATCCTGCCCCCACAATAAATCAAAATCAAATGATATGTATGTCATTTTAATAACATGAATAAAAATTAACGACTAAGTTATACATGTAGAAGAATATGACAAAAGCGAAGACTAATACATGCTAGGTCTGGTAGACACTGGAATTAGACTATGCAATAACATTATGCATAGCAGGACACCTGCCCACAATTTCTAAGCATTTATTAGTTTATCTCCATGTTTACTCATTCATTCAAGAGTGATATTTAATTTTTTTTCTCTTTTTTTTCTTTTTGTGTTACACCCAGTGATGCACAGGGGCTCCTCCTGGCTCTGCACTCAGGAATTACTCCTGGCAGTGTGACCCAGAAGAAAAAAAAATAATAACTTGATTAAAAAAATAAAACCCAAATCCCCAAACACCAATTTGTTGATAAGTTCTGATCAGGACATTTTCCATGATGAGGGGGCTAAAAAATTGAGGCAGCAGTGAGAGAGAAGTGAACAGATTTATGAGGAAAAGCAAAAACCAAAAACCAAAAACAAACTTAAAAAACCAAGACCTCTAAATTAGAAAAAAGAACAATTCTATTTTGCTTTCCAGACAAACAACTCTGAACATACAACTGTGAGTTCAAATTGGAAAAATCTGCAAGCAGTCTCCAGAACAGAACACCCACCAAGAGAGAAAGTTCCATTTCGGTGGCCTATAGCTGGCATCCTGGCAGTGGGGACTTCCTTTTTCTCTCGCCTGGCTCTGCCACATGTATCAGTTTGGTGTGAGTCTGGCTATGCTGAATTTATGAATGTCCTAAAGCATGATTCCTCATAGATGACTTCAAGGAATGACAGAGCTGAGCTTGAGACCAACAAGTTTATCTTGACAGCTTCTTCAAGATACAAGCTTCGTGTGAGGAAAATGCTTTCCAAGATAGTACTTTTCTTTTTATAGGGAAAGCAATAAATATCTTTAACTAAGTAAATCTGATACAAGGAAATGATGATATAATCTAAATCTATTTGGTTTTTGCCTTTCACACCTCCCACCTATTCCCACTCCAAGGTCCTTCAATTTTAACAAAAGATAAACATTTTACAACCCACTGAATTGAGAAAGTATCAGTATCACTGAATTAGTGTTAATATGGTACCTAAGTCTTTAAAATCTCTCTCACGAAACAAATGGACTTTGCTTTGGAAATAATTTACAGATTGATTTTTATCAGTTTGGCATCTGTAGTTAAAATAAGAGGAACTGAAGCAAAACTATTCTTAGAAGATGTCAGCACAGCGAAACCTATATTGACTCAAAATAATTCATCCATCCTACCTTCCTTGGAGATAATTTTCTGCCTCAGGGGTATTAAAGATTTGTGTAAGACAATAAAGTGAATTGAGCTTATAATTCAAGATTTTGTGTCTGGTGTTCAAGCACTTGGTCAAAACTGATTTTCACAGTGATCCAAAGATAAGATGGATTCACTGCTCCTTTAGAAATGGGCTGGAGAGGGCGCTGGAGAGATAGCACAGTGGGTAGGGTGTTTGCCTTGCACGTGGCCGACCTGGGTTCGATGCCCAGCATCCCATACGGTCCCCTGAGCACCGTCAGGAGTGACTCCTGAGTGCAGAGCCAGGAGTAACCCCTGCGCATCGCCGGGTGTGACCCAAAAAGAAAAAAAAAAAGAAATGGGCTGGAGAGTTAGTACAGTGGGCAGGACACTTCCCTTGCATGCAGCCAACCTGAGTTCGATTCCTGGTACCCCATATGCTCCCTTGAGTGCACTAGGAGTGATCCCTGAGTGCAGAGCCAGGAGTAAGCTCTGAGTATCACTCGTTGTGGCCCAAACAGTACCCCTCCAGCCAAAAATGAGAAAAGATAGGTAGACTAAAAATTTGATAGACTATTCCCAAGTTACTGTTTAATCTGCTAACAAAAATAACAAAGTTGTGATATATTCCTTTATATAAAACTTATGTCCTGTTGCCCGTTGGATTATTTTTAAGAATTTAAAATGCCTTTAAATTACTTTATTAAAATATAACTTACTATGCCTGAATTTTAGTTCATGACACAGTCATAATAATATTAATAATACATTGAAAGCATAATAGCTTAGAGATAAAAAATAATGCCTGAGGTCTAAACACAAATTCCTACTGTTTAACGCCATAAACACAGCAATCACTGTCAAAAACATAGTGCATTTAGTAAGACTTTGGTGCTTATGATTAATATAACATGTATAAATTTGGGAGCATAAAACATTTGCCATAATTGAATTAGCATTTGCATCAAGCATTATTCTGTATAGTTTGCTTTCCTTAATCAAGTAACTGTCAATACTAGTGGCAAAGATCATCACTTATTTGAGCAGACATGATCTGCTGTTAATAAAAAGAATATCTCACTTGACAGCGAAACAACTATGTAATTTTTGGAGGAGTACAGACCACATTCATTTTGAAAAAACGATACAGTTGCTGTCTGCTAAGCCTGCTCTAATCCCCAGGAAACAGAAACATTAGTCACCAATTTAACAAATTTTATTAATATAATAAATAAATTTTGAATGGAGAGAAAGAGAAAGAATACGTGTAACTGGATTTTGAGTGTGATCCCTTTAGCTGTGAGCAAAGCATACTTGTATCTGGAGCATTCTATTGTATGTGTGTAGGCGGAGCAGAGCTTTATATGAATCTCATGTGTTCCAGCATGTCACACACAGTTGATGCATTGCACTGACCCTTCTTAGAATGTTCTCCTTAGCTTGGAAACTCTCTGCAGCACTGCAGCATCTGCCGTTTCTCAGCGAGGCTGACGATGTAATGCTCCCGGGTGGGGCTTTAAAAAGTCTTACCGGCTGACACATTTACTCATCAGTGTTGACTTTTACATTGACTTCCAGACTCCTAAGTCCACTTCACTTGGCTACCTGAAAGTCTTAATGGCATTAAGGATCCCAAACAAACCCTTGATTTTGTGCCTCCCTAAACGATTTCCCCCGCTAGTTTCCCTGTCGGTAACTGGCACTGTTCCCTCCTGAATGTGCCTAACTGGAAATCTCAGGATGCTCTTTCTCGCCTTAATCCAACATCCCAATTCACCTTCTGGTCTGTTCAGCAACCCGCTCTGCCTACTTCCATATCCCCACATCATGCCCCCACAGGGGGTCACACCCGGCAGTAATATGTACCTCCTACTTTTGCCTCCCAAGACTCATTTTCCACCCAGCAACCCAAACAATCATGACACACAAGAACCAGGCAGCCAACCAAAGGCATGTAGCTGCCCTAGTTTCCCAGGGCATAGGGGTGCAGTTGGTAGGAACAATCACTTGTCACCTGCCTTCTCTCCGTGTGACCTTTTTCCTGTCATTATGGCTAGATTCTTCCCTTTAACTCTGCTGCTCCCTCAGCCTGGTCAGAGCCTCCCATAACTCCACCATCTCCCTAGAGAGAACTGTCTTGGTCACCTCAGCTAATATGCCGCTGCTCTGTCATAGTTGATCATACTGCCTGAAGCCAAAAACATCTGAATATTTTCTTATTCCTTATTCAAGCCCTTTGTTTTAACTATGGTACATTTTATTATGTAAGAGAACTAAATATACTTATTTTTTAATACTTCATAGCACTGTAGCACTGTCCTCCTGTTGTTCATCGATTTGCTCGAGCAGGCACCACTAATATATCCATTGTGAGACTTGTTATTACGTTTTTGGCATATTGAATAAGCCACAGGTAGCTTGCCAGGCTCTGCCATGTAGGCGGGATACTCGTGGTAGCTTGCAGGGCTCTCCGAGAGGGACAGCGGAATCGAACCCAGGTTGGCTACGTGCAAGGCAAATGCCCTGCCCGCTGTGCTATTGCTCTAGACCAATATTTCATATATCCTTTATACATTTATTTCAAAGACTTTCAGGGTTTTGCCTGTCAACACCAAGACAAAACCTCCTTTGCTATTTAAGACAATGTTATGGTCAATATTTTAGTGTCTGATGGCTGTACACTGCTTTCTTTATGTTATTTTTTGCATAGATCATTAGCTAGTGCATATATTTTCCTTACCTGTTTTGATAAATTCTTTTTATTTATTTATTTATTTATTATTTTTTGCTGGTAGTGACATCTGTAATAACTGCAATGGGGTCTGATATATACAAAGTGGGCTTTTGCTACATAATTCTCAAATAACTTTTGAAATTTAATCCACTAGAATCTAAAATTCATAAAGACAACTTCTTAGGAGAGGAGGAGATGGAATGAAGACAACAGAAGAGAGGAGATTGCGGGTGTGGGTCAGGGAGAAGGGACCTGGGAGGAAATGCCTTGCTAGGCAGACGTTACAAAGAAAACGAAACTCACTCTGTTTCACATTTTATGAAGTAAGGGATGGGATGTGGTTCAGTGGCGAAGAGCATGCCTGGGATACATAGGACCCTGATTCAATCCCCACCAGATCATTGTATAATTGAAACCCAAGCAAAAAAGTTTGTAAGTCTACAACTGTACCTCATGGTATTTCACTGATAAAATTAAATTTAAAAAAAAACCAACAAACAAATGGTCAAAAATGGTAAAAATAAAACTGGATGGGGCACCAGTCTCTGGACAAATGAGTGAAGACCACTGCCTTAAAGCTTTCAGAGTTCTAAATCGGGCAGGTCTAAATGAAACAGAATGAAATATTAGGGTAATGCAAAATGAATAAAAATATGTTAACCATCAATTACTTGCACGTAGCCAACCTGGGTTCGATTCCTCTGTCCCTCTCAGAGAGCCCAGCAAGCTACCAAGAGTATTCTGCCCTCACGGCAGAGCCTGGCAAGCTCCCTGTGACATATTCAATATGCCAAAAACAATAACAACAAGTCTCACAATGGAGACATTACTAGTGCCCACTCGAGAAAATCGATGAACAATGGGAGGACAGTGCTACAGTGCTACTTTCTTTTCAAGATCAGAGAAAAACCCTATTGAGGAAGAGCCATCAATATGCAATACGCAAGGGTCCAGAACAGCAGTGCTTATTTGTCCTTATTTGAACAGTATTCTTGTTTGAGTTTACAGATTCGTGTGGGAAACTGATTTTGTAGAGAAGACAAAACGAAAACAGTAGGCCTGGAAAGATCCAATTAACCAGAACAAGGTTATCAAAAAGTACTTTTCTAAGTAGAAGCGTTTTAGAATACCTGCGCCTTCCCATATCTGGCCCGTGGACTCTGAGGATATTTTCGTACCAGCTCTTCAAATGCTTGCATTGCTTCCTCGACTTTTCCCTGTTAGGAAGAAGCAATGACAAGAATACGATCAATTCAAATGTGGAACAGTCTTCAATTTGGCTCTATAATATTTGCTAAGTACTTTGGCTAAAATTTCCTGAATTCCACACCAAGTTTTTATTCAAAATTTATAAAAATGCCTGAGGCATGACAAAAAAATTACAAATGAATCAAATCTTTATTCTTTAAAAGACAGACACAAAACAAATGATACTATGCAAAACTTTTATAATAATTAAAAACACACTCTGCTCTCTGTTATACTTCCTATGTGTGTTCTGAAAGAAAATATTCAGTTCTTAAACTTTGGGGAAAAAATTTAATCTTTGAGGAAATGTTTAACTTTTAAAACTTTTGGGAAATAAGACAATCTTGGGGGAAACTCAGGAATTCTCAACTAAGGGCCCGACAGCCCTTTGTGGGCACACCAGATACTCCAAGGGGTCACAGGTGAAAAATCATGTCCCACAGGGACATGGCACAAGAAGAGGCTAACTAGTATAACTGGGTTCGTCTAAATTTATTCCCTTAGGTAAGTATCCTCCAGGAAGTCAACCTTTTGCCTCTCACACACCCTGTGGGCTAGAAAAAGGCTGCAGAGATAAACAGCCAAGTGTGGGAATATAAATGCAGTCTCTGGAGCCAGATCATGGGTCAGTACTGGGGTCACTTAGGTGGTGTGTGACTTATGGCAGGTTCCATAGACTTTGCTTTAGGGGACTCAATAGTGAAATAGGGAGAGGAGGATGAGTACCTTTGTAGGATCGTTGTGGAGGTTAATTATGCTAACACACAGAAAGTGCTTTAGACACTCCAGAGAACATAGAAAGTACTAAATAAAGTTACCACAACCACCACCACTGCTATTACTATTATTGTTAGTAAGACTGTGGGGAGGGGTGGGGGTGGGGGGGCTTCCACCAGACAAGTTTCACTTTTTGATAAACAGAGAGGCAGGTAGATTAATAGAAGAATAAGATCTTGAATATGTAAATAAATCAAGGCAACCACAAAGTTTCTACCTTTTGTCAGACATTTGTATCTTTATTCTAAATATGCTGTTTTATTTATTGTTGCCCTTACAATATTAAATTTTGTCAATGATTTTCTTCCTTAGAAACCCTTTAGGTTTCTAGGGCCTCTTTTTCATTATCACCTCCCCGCAGAGTGGCACACTTGCCATTCTTGATGAACCTACACGGACATGACATAAATGCCCAAGACCTTCATTTGCCTTAGGGACCAATACTGGTATTCAATCTATGAATTTGAAAAAAAAAATCTATGACACGCTTTATCTTTGCAATACCATACGGGGTAGTTCAACTGCCCTGGAAGTATGTCCCATCGACACACATTGATTTCCTTTTTCCTTCCTTCCTTCCTTCCTTCCTTCCTTCCTTCCTTCCTTCCTTCCTTTCCTTTCTTTCTTTCATGCATTCTTTCTTTCTTTCTTCTTCTTCTTTTTTTTTGGGTGGCTTTAAGTCACACCCAGATATGAAAACCATGCTAGATATACTGCTATCAGGTTTTAGTCAATAACAACATGCAAAATAAATGTGTTGAAATATTTTCTCTTTGTTTTTATCTTTGAGCCACACCCAGCAGTGTTCAGGGTTTCCTCCTTGCTCAAGCTCACTCCTGGCAGTGCTTGGGGCTATGTGGAATGCCAGGGATTGGATTTAACCCATTGTACTATCTCGCCAACCCCACACTGAAGCATTTTGCTACTGCTTTGAAACTTCCTCAGCCAACCATCTAGACTGCAAGAATCATTAAATTGCAGGCCGTTGTCTAGGCGTATGTGGACTCCAGAAGACAGAGGCTGGGCAACCTTCCTAAAAGGCACCACCTGCTCTCACCTCAGCGGGCTGACAAAGAAAATGTATCTGCTTCTAATTTGGATCTCCTATTTCCTGCACTGACTGAGAAGATGATCATAACATGATTCAAACAGATTCTGGTAGCCTCTAACATGACTGTCATTAAGTAAAGCCATTGCAAGACACAGCATTTTTGCTCTTCTTCACCATCTTTTCAGTGAAGAGCTGCATGAAAATCAGCTGTGGTTCAACATAACTTTGCTTTTTTCCTCTTAAGACCAAGGTAGACCTCTGAGAGGCAACAGCTGCAGGGCAGGACCTGGAGACACAGGGCTGCAGTTCTATTGTGGGATCCACCGTGTGATGTTAATGAGGAAGCAGTGTGGTCCATTGCTGCTCCCTTAAAAGCTGCAGTAGAGCAATTCTCCCTGGGCCTGGTTGCAGAAGAGCTAGTCCAATGAACACGGTTCAGCTTTAGGCACAGTGCTCTGCCCCTCTTCTGCCTACAAGTTGCTTCATTCCTAGCACAGTTCAGAGACTGTGCTAAGAAAATTCATGTGCCCACTACACTCTGGCTTATAAAAATTCCCCCCTTTTGTGCCATTTACAATACAATCATAATAAATGTTTTAGCAAGTAAGTGCATGATATACTTTAGTATACCATTTCAAACATACTCTGTCCCCTCGTAAAAAAGGAACCTTATTATTATATTCATTTGTTTGTTTTTTGTGCCATACCCAGCAGTGCTCAGTGCTTACGTCTGGCTCACACTTAGAGTTACTCCTGATGAGGCTCAGGGGACACCATTGAGTGCCAGGGATTGAACCTGGCCACAAGCAAGTGAATGATTGCTCTGGCCCCTTTATTTATTATTATATTATGTTTAAGAATAGATTAAAGGGTAATTTAATGTGTGTGGGTGTGTTTGTGTGTGTGTTCACACACATATATTTGGGGGAGGAAAGAAAAGTCAAATAAGGAAGCAATACCATGTAGCAGAGCCCTGAAGTAGGATGTGGGTGGAGGCTGAACTCCTTGGCCTGGGCTATGCCTGAGCATGGCCTATTACTTTGGGGTGATTGGGGCCTCAACTGAAAATATCAACAATAAATTAACATTATTTATGCTGATGATTCAGTCAACAATATGGCTCCCTGTTGTTTCAAAAGCAAGAACTGCCTATGTGGCCACTTCTTTACATCGTTCTTTTGTTTACCCTATTAGAGAGCCAGGCTGCTCTTTGAGGACCATCAAAATTTGTCTACATATGCAAGAACTAGAAATTGCCCTATGGATGTCCAGTACTTTTATGTCCTACCAACTTATCTGCCCCTGGATGATCGAGCCCTGTTTTACTGTTCACTGTCATTATAGAAACATTGCTCTGTAAAACTGATCGTTTGTCTTTTCTCCCAAAATAATTTCTGAAGCAGGAACCCTTCTTTTTCATTGGTGGCTTTTAGTGCACAGAAAGTGGTGGTGAATACCAAAAAGTGACAGAAATGAATTTCTGCCTCATTCCTTCAAAATATGAAAATTTGCCACTAATACTAGATGGCTTCATCTTAGAAAGTTAAACAAGGTGGACTCAGAAATGACTTTTCTATAATATTCTTCACAATTACTACACTTTTAGTGCCTGGGAAAGACAGTATGTTACCCTTGCCTTTGGGATATTGTCTAATGCTAGTTAAACAAATGCTCAGACTTCTTGGTTCAGTTCTGCTAAAGGTGTAGAAGTATATTCTCGTTCCATATCTGTTTCTAAGGTTCACCTTATAAATTGCTTTGAAATTGTTGTTGCTTATTTACTTAAAGTTCCCTTTCTGCCACCACCTTGATGCTGTTTTGCAGCCAGTGTCTGTCAATAAAAGTACAGGAAAACTAAAGAACTCTTTATTAAGTACAGAGTACAGAAAGAGAGATTTCCAAGTTGATGATTAAGAGAAGATGTGATTCATTACATTAAATTTTGGGATGCCAAAAATTCGATATATGATTAAGAGAACAAATGACTAATCTACTTTGTACTTTGGTCTGAAAAAACTATATAATATTTATAAACATGTGCAAATCTTATTTTATATTAACTGATGACAAAGCAAAACATAAATCCTGGAACTGTGGAGATCCATGAGGCTAATTCAGGTGAGGAGTAAGTTAAAAATAATGTCATTTCACTTAATTTTAACTATGCTTAGAGGACTGGATCACACTAATTTTTTTTATATCACACTTATAAAATTATGTTGTTTGCTTATACAGTGCTTGAGAATGTTGGTGCTTTTCTTCTTTGAAAATATCTTGTTTTGGTGCTGATAGAACAGTGGGTAAGGTTTTATTTTGCATACAGCTATACAGCTAAGTGCAGTTTGAACCCCAGCATCCAATATGGTCCCTAAGCCCAGGAGGAGTGATTCCTGAGTGCAGAGCCAGGAATTACCCTGACCACTGCTGGGGTGTTCCCAAAACCAAACAATAACAATAACAAAGCCCCTCTCCTTTGGAGGCCTGGGAAGATGGCTCAAGCAATAGGTCATATAACTGGTATGTGGAAGGCCTCAGGTCAATCCCCAGTACTGCATGGCCCTCCCAGCACAGTTAGGAGTAGGCCCATTAAAAAAAAAAATCATTTAATACTTAGAAAAATCAAATACAAAGTAGACTTGATATTCTCTCTCTCTCTCTCTCTCTCTCTCTCTCTCTCTCTCTAGTACGGAAACGTGTTAAGAATGAACTCAAAGCCACATGACTAGTGTTGATGGAAGTGAGCTCAGTTCCACATAGACTGGCCTGAGAGTCAGCTCTCTTCTTATTTAGTCATTATAGCTCAACGCTTTACATTTGAGTCAACCCACATGGATGTGCCTGGGAAAAGGAGCTCTCTAGCTTAAGGCTGGCTCACTTATATTTCTTTTTCAAACAAACCAAAAGTGATAATGCTTGAATTTATGTAACAAACAAGTTACTGCACATTTCTACGTACAGTGAAAATACCATACCTACCCTTTTACGGAGTTTTTCTGCAGCATCAAGTTCAGCCTTGATAGTTTTATCAAATTTATTTAACAGTTTAGGCTTCTTTTTCTTAACTGAAAGAAAAAAGATTTATTTTATTTACTAGATATATTCATTAACAATATTGACTGACTATGGGAAGTCATATTCCAACCTAACCTCCTCCACCAGCTCCCTAACACCCCCTCCCACCCCCCACTCCCCACCAACACCACTTAGAACGACAAAGTCAGCAGCTATGATGCCAGGTAGACAACGTGGCGTGATGGATTCAGAAATGCTCCTGGGAGACTGAGGAAGAAGCACAAGTTCTCCCCTCACCCAAATTTTGCTTTCTTTCGTCTCAGTTACTGGCAATTAGCCATGGTCTGAAAATACTACCCCAAATAAGATATTTAGAGAATGATCACTTTCACATAAATTTTATTGTAGTCTATTTAATTATTCTTTTTTATTTTTGGTTATTGGTTTTCATATACTACTGTGACTACAGGTTATACATTAAATTCCATTATGCCTATACATATAGATATCTATATGCCGTAGATATGGAATTCAATCCAATTAGTATATATGGTTTCAAGTATCTACACGGGGGTTGGGAACATATTCATTCCCATGGATAAGAGGAACAATTTAAAACTTAAATTTTTTTATTGTTTTAAGTTTTTACATTTAAAAGACTGCTCCAAACAGTTTCATAATATATCTAATTTGATTCTGAAGATAAAAAGGGATAATTATTCACAAGAGAGTCAAACAGAACAATTTCTCAGTCTAGCACACAGGACCCTTCCATGGCGTCATAGTCCTGTATTCCAGATACATTCCATACTTCAGGCAAACAGACTTTCCAATCCCCAAACAAATGGTGTTGGTTCTGATACTACTGCTGCTAAATAAAATAACCCACGGTATAACTTTGTCACCCTTCAACAACTAGCTGAAAACTATGCTCCTTATACCACTCATGGAACTACTCAACACTCCTCTCTCTCTTTCTCTTTTTTTCTCCCCCTGCCTCCTTCCCTTCCCCTGCTCCCCTAAAGGCCCCACCGCATAATATTTCTTGGCTGAGGTCTTCTCCCATTCAACTGTCACTATAATTTCCTGTACAAATATTCCCTTTCCAAACTATAAGCGTCGACAGAGTGGCATCAAGTGTAGATTCACACTGAGTATTATTCCCACTTACTCAGCATGGACTCACAGGCCAGCAGGTAGGGGAAAAAGCCCTACTGTTTCACAGCCACAACGCTGCTGAGGTGGGTGGATGCTGAATGTGTCCTGGATGCCCAGGGCAAGTAGTTCTATCTGAGGACTTGGGAGAGTGCCAAAAACAAAAGTTCTGAAGGGTCACTAGAATGTACCAGAGAAAGGGGACAGATTGGTGGGACAGATGGAAGAGTGGGAGGAACAGAGAGAAAACAGAACAATCAGAAGAGAACTTCTCATATGTTTTGACACTAGATCGGCAAAACCAACTACCTCTGCACTACTCTGATAGAGGAAGTGGGGTTCTTATTCCAATGGTTTTCGCCTCCATACAAAGAACTTCACTCCCTTCTACAACCCCCTCAGAATGTCTTCCCCAACTCTGACTTTTTTGAGTCCACACTAGGGCTAAAGTCTCTGCTATCTTACAGCATGTAAGCCAGCCAGAACAGGCAAACCTCAACCTCCGGGAGTTTGCCATGTCTCTCTCCCTTCCCTCTTGTCCAGTATCATCTCATCCTAACAAGCTTAAGCTTCCTCCTTCACCCAACGGCTCAAAGGAAGTATTCAGGAAGGAGTACTCGGTGGGTAAAAGGCATCCGAGTCCCAGTCCTGTGACCTAAGTCAAAGTGGTTAGAAACTTTCTGAGTCAACTTCTGTAGTTATAAATATGGAGTAGTTTGTGAGAATTAGGTTGATGTTACACATGGGCAATTAAGTGGCAGGCACCAAGGAAGAATCCTACACCTGAGAACACATAATGCCCATGGCCCTCTCTATCTTCTCTGCTGACGTTTTTCTTTTTATCATATTGGGACCACAACCAATGGTGCTTAGGGCTTTCTCCTGACTGTGCTCAGCGATCACTCCTGGCAGTGCTTCGTGGATCAAATGGGATGCCACTAATTGAACCCAGGGCAGATGCATGCAAGGCTTTACCATCTTTTGTTGTTGATGTTGTGTTTTGGGTCACACCCAGTGATTTACAAGGGTTACTCCTGGAGCGATAGCACAGCGGGTAGGGCGTCTGCCTTACAAGCGGCCAACATGGCCGACCCGAGTTCGATTCCTCCGCCCCTCTCGGAGAGTCTGGCAAGCTACCTAGAGTATTTGATATGCCAGATACAGTAACAACAAAGTCTCCAATGGAGACGTTACTGGGCCCGCTCGAGCAAATCGACGATCAACGGGAGGGCCTTTACCTTTACTCCTGGATTATGCACTCAGGAATTACTTATGGCGGTGCTCGGGGGGGCCATGCTGGGAATTGAACCTGGGTTGGCTGTGTGCAAGGCAAACACCCTACCCACTGTGCTATTGCTCCAGCCCCTGGCCTACCTTTTTCTTTCTTGAAACTATCTTTTCCTTGACTTCTGCGTTGCCTATTTCCCCAGTTTTTCTCCATGTACTTTCCATCTCCCCTGTGCTTCCTGACCTCTGTTCATCTCTGGATGTTCTGTACTCTTCAGGGTTGTCTCCGACCTTCTGAAAGGGCTTTTAATTTCCAAACTGAGCTATAAATTTAGTAATTTTCTCTTGTGTTATGAAAAGAAATCCAAGAGCCTACTGACACAGGAGCTTCAAGCTCAGAAGACCAGAAATGCAATTTGCTATTCCTCATACATCTTTCCTGTGTTTACTCTTTTTCAGAGCAAAGCACCAGATTGATCTGGGGGTGCAAATCTGAAACCTGGCTTGGGAGGGCAAGTAAAACAAGGTAAAGAAGAAATGCATGGTGTTTTTTCATAGGCTGTATGTAATACTATATTTTAGCATCCATTCTCTGCTGAGCTCCATGCATGATGCTGTATGTACGAAGACTAGATGGACATAGATAATTATTTTTTTCCCCTCTCAGCTTCCCAGACACAGGGAATTTACCCTCACTGATATACTACTAAAGTTCCAGAAGGTACACAGTATGTCCCATTCTCATGTGAAGGGGAGGAAGAGATGCTAAGCTCTTTTTTTTTTTCTTTTTGATCACACCCACCCAGCGATGCTCAGGGATTACTCCTAGCTCTGGACTCAGGAATTATTCCTGGCAGTGCTGAGAGACCATATAGGATGCTGGGGATTGAACCTGGGTTGGCCACGTGCAAGGCAAATGCTCTACCTATTGTATTATCGCTCTAGCCCCAGAAGAGACCTTTTCTAAAAGCACCTTTAGTTCCTGCTCCCTCAGGGTTGTGGTATAACACTTCCTATTACTAGGTATGGGGGAGAGATAAGCTAGTATAGCTCAGTCCCCTCCGTCTCTTCCTCCCAACAACACGCCTGCTGAGCTGATCACAAATCCTACAGGGACAAAGTCCTACACGGAAGCATTAGGCAGTTCCAAGCCTCCCGGAGTAGAGCGTGCATCTAATTCTGTGTTCAATAGAAGGAAAACAACCATTCCTGTTTATCATTCCTGACCTTCAACTCTGTTCTCCTTTATATCACACCTTGTTTATTTAAAAAACCAACTATGTTCCTTTACTTGTCTGCTTCACCTTACTCATTTTTCTACCCCAAACCCTAAGGTCTTCTATGGCTGAAAAATAAAAATGTCTAAGGCAGAGGCAGAAAACACAGTGCATGTCATTATATGCAAAGGATACGGAAAATGGATTGACACTTGACCGAGATATAAGTTGACAGCAAGTGGGACTTTGGGTCTTGTCATCTCAGCACTGATTTCTATCTCTCAGTCATTAACTCTGCTTTGTAGATGCATCTGTCAGTTGAATGCCAGCAGGACCACATGAGCATACACCTGAGAAGAGTGCTTCCTAGCCAGTATCACCAGCTTCCTCCAGGCTATTACTCATGTGACACACTTAAAATGAACACGAGGTTACTTGAACATTGTTTGACTGAAACACAATCATGTAAGCATCTGTAAATGTGTCTTATGATGATTCATTAAAATAAAAAAATAAAAATTAAAAAAAATAAAATGAACATAAGGTTAATTTGTGAGGGGGGAAAACTATTGGAAGTTTAGGAGATCTAAAATAAAGAACAATAATATGCTTCCTAAGTAGACAGACTATACATACCATATTGTCAAAACATTCCAATATCATCACAAAAAATAAACTATTAAAACCTTCATGACATTTGTCATCAAGAAATTACTCTATCCCATCTTCTCATGTTTCTTCATATTTGTTTCTAACTACTGTTCTCTTTGAAATCCAAATTTTATCTTAAAGTGAGTACTTAACATTTATTTTTTTAAATGGGATTTAACTCAGAGCCTCACACTTGAGGCTTACCTGAGCTACACCCCCAAATTCTTATTATTTTTAAATGTATAAAACGCCCAAGGTGATTTCCTAATTATAAAAACAAAACAAAACAAAACAAATTTATTACTTTTGCTTCAGGAGCGGGCTGGAGTGATAGCACAGCGGTAGGGCGTTTGCCTTGCGTGCAGCCAGCCTGGCCGAGCTGGGTTCGATTCCTCCGCCCCTCATGGAGAGCCTGGCAAGCTACTGGGAGTATCTTGCCTGCACGGCAAAGCCTGGCAAGCTCCCCGTGATGTATTCAATATGCCAAACACAGTAACAAGTCTCAAAATGGAGACGTTACTGAGCCCACTCGAGCAAATTGATGAACAATGGGAGGACAATGACAGTGACAGTGACAGCTTCAGGAGCAGCACATGATCAACTGCCTAAACGAAGAGTTCTCGGTATATTTAGTGAGTGAACGAGAAAAACTCTTTCAGCAGCTTTAGCCTCTGTTATCTCATGTACAAAGATCTGACTTGAGCTGTTTGTCTGATGATCTCTTTAAACATAGAAATACTGTGATTCTTTTTTTTTTTAAATACTTCGATTCTTATTTACAGTTGACTCAATCATATTAC